TGCTCTCCCAGGCCAGCCCTGCCTATCTCCCTGGGGGCTGATAGGAGATAAATGAAACAAACCACTTCTTCAAAGCACCCTCCTCAAGGACAGGGATCAAACACCAGGGCTTGGAAGATAAGCTCCAGCCTACATTTCCTTTGTCCATTCCTTCCCACCACATCTCCAAAGGAAATTCTAGGGGGAGGAAAAGTAGTTAATTCCTCTTTCTTTTATCAAAAGGAATTACCTCCCCACTACACCACAATGGGCCCTGATAGGAGAAGGGGGGGCCCTTTTCTCGGGGGCTCTGCCAGCGATTCACTGTGTGACTTTAGGCTCCCCCATAAAATTCTCGGTGTCCTGTTCTTCATCAGTCTAAAGGGATGAAAACACCTGCCCAAAATAACTCAGAAAATTGTTGGGGGGGGGTGCGGAGGGGAGGATGATGACACGGAAACACAGATTTGGGAAAAGATACTTCCACATGTTTGTATAGTTGACATTTTGAAAAACACCAAGTTATCCACCTTGAATCTTTTTGGGAATCCAGCGAGGTGAGATGTAAACAAATAGCACTCTACAGCTAAAATCCTCATTCATTCAGCAACAAACATTCACTTATGACAGACAGCCTAGATTCGCCTCCCAGCCCCACGTCTCAGGAGCTGGGACTTTGGACAAGTGACTGAACCCCCACATCCTCCTCTGGGAAACAGGGTGAGAGAAGACCCATCTCTTGCAGCTTCTACAAGGATTAGATGAGATACTGTGGGCAAAGTGCTTGCAACGATGCTTGGCCCTCGGTGCTGGCTACTGTGAAGCTATTGCTAGGCGGTGAGAATACAAAGGGGCTGCGGACAATTCAGAAGCAGCCACAGTCCAACGGGAGAATGGGCAAGTCGACAAGCGAGGGCAGATGCTGAGTGCGAAGTGTAATTATAGGACACCGCGGAGCGGTGAGAGCACAGAGGGGGGAGCTCCTGGGGCAGGCTCCCCGCGAGGCTGGCTGTGCCCGCCCCTCGGGCCCTCTCCTGCCCCGGGGCTGTGTCTGAAGCTGGGGATGGGGCAGACGGAGGAAGTGCCGGCGAGGGCCCTGAGCGCAGGGCTCTAAATCAGGGCTCCTGGCCAAGGCGGTAATTGTCAGCCGCTGAAAGATATTAAGCGCCAGGGAGGAAAACCAAGTTCTCTATGAGGCAGACTTTTCAGAGTTCTTACAGCTTGTTAAAAAAAAAAAAAAAATGTAAATAGTTACCCAGTGAGATATTATTTCATGTTGTTGCCATTAGGGTTTGAGTGTTAGGCAGAGAGAGGCGATCATTCAGGCAATTCCGCCTCAGCGAGGACTGAAAACTCCACATTAACCCCCACACAACAAATTCACCACCTCCAGCTCTCAGCCTGACTCAGGCATTTTCTCCTGGGCGGTGAATTTTATGTAAATTGAAGTAGTGAAAAAAAATCTATAAATATTCAGAATTCCTAAAGGATTTTCTTGATGGCTTGGGGGTGGGGGACATTTTTTAAAAAGACACATTTTGACTGGAGGCTGGGGGAGGGCTACTCTCATTTCGGGTCAAATTCTGGGACAGCTTGGGTCTTGCGGGCAGGCGTCCCCAGTGCTGAGAGGCTCCGGATCCAGTTACTGCTGAGACTGGTCTCCAGAGTGCCAGGCCACGGATGCATGGATCACAGCCATCATTCACCTGGGACTCCCCTTGTACCAAGGGCTGAACATGTGGAGACACATTGTCTGCTTCTGGTTTCCTGACTCTTGGAGGCCACTCTTACATTTCAAATGATACGTGGGGAAAAGGGAAGGGAGGTTGACTTGCCCTGGCCCAGGCCCACCACAGCAGCATGGTTCAAAGGCCTGGCTCTGACAGACCCGATTCCAAGTGACTGCTCTGCCACTCACGGGTCAAGTGACCTTGGGGAAGGGACTAACCTTTCCAGCCTCACTCTCTTCAGCTGGAAATGGGGAGAACAGTACCTAAGGCTTATAGAGTGCCTGACACACAGAATGGCATGGGGCATCCTCCAGCAGCCTTCACCCCATCCTATCTTAATGGTGCTGCTCACTCCCAGGGCAACCTGAGCAGGTCCTGGAAGAGGGGAAGGCTCCTTAACCATACATCTGCCACTTTTCTGCAAGGCCAGGACATGGGCTGTATGTCCTGTACAACATCTTGCAGGGGCTTTTCAACCACACCCCTATAGCGCCATGCTATATATTTCATGCCTGAAATAAATATGGCCTAACTCAATACCGAGCCTTACTCTCTGCCAGGTGGCAAGCCATTCCTCTGAATACTGCCCTTGCTGTAGGCCACTGGGGTCCCAGTTAGGACTCCATAGGTTAGGGCTTCAGCTAAGTGAATGTCAAATACCGATTGCAATCATTGTCTCTTCGTGTTTTAATTAGGCCCCTGGTCTAAGTATGGTAACCCATTTTCTCTCCTAAGGCAATTAGGTGGATTAAGCCAGAGGAGAACTGCTGCTCTCACCAGCACCCTGAAAGGAAAGGTGTCCCCATTCCCTTGCTAGCACTTTCCAGGAGAGGGGAAACAGGCCTGGTCCGGCCTCAGTGCTGTCAGGTATCCACTGTTCCTATCTGTGATCACCGCTGTGAGCCAAGAACGTGGGTGGGTTTTTGTGGGCGTGGGTGTTTAAGGACAATATGTTAATACCAAGGCAAATTGCTCACCTCCCACCCAGAGCCTGCCCAGTCTACCCTCATCCCCTCTTTTCTCCTTCCCTTTCAATCATTCACTACCTTTTTCTTCTCTTTTCCTCTAAACATTCTATCATCCTCTATTCTCCCCTCTCTCCTCTCTGCGGCCTCCTACCCCTCTTTTCCTTCCAAATTCCTCTTCTCTCTCCCCAATGATTTCCCATTAATCATCCCTAACACACATCTGCTTGGGTCCTGGAAGGATTTTTTTGGCTGGCTCTCACAGCTGGGCTGGATACAATAATCAAGAAGGAGTCTTTCATCTCTCTCTGCCTCCTGGGTCTCCTCTCTTCCCAGCTCGTCCTCCTCTAGGGTGCCTATAGAGGCCCACCCTTTTCCAGTCTGTAAGGCTTTCTTCTGTTCTCGGTCTGGGTAGCAATTTCCCCAAAGCCAAATAGCCTTGTAGGTTGCAGCAGCCCTGCCATGGACTTTTAAATGAGGTACTGGCCTTGGCAGTGAAGTCAGAAAGCACAGAGGCTGGCATTGGGGGGGCACAGAGACCACCACATAGATGGGATCACCCCCCCCTTCTTGTACCCCTCTTGCTGCAATATGGAAGATACCTCGCAGCCCAGGCATCCCTTAGCATTGGTTTCAACCTGACTTTACCAGGATTAAAACTGGGGTAGGCAGAGCCTGTGTAATTTCTAAGAGGTCCATGCATACCCCAAAAAGCAGCAGGGATACAGGGAGTACATTTAGTTTAGTGTATGATTGATATGGCCCGGGAGTGGTGCCTGCTGCCTCCTTTCCTGAGCATGATAAATGTCTGGGATTGCTATTTGTTATTTCCGAGAGGGTTCTTTCTTTCCGTTTGGAGAACCCCTCTGAAATCACCTATCCCCATCTTGGGTTCTCATGTTGTTTCAAGGCGTAGATCAACGCGGCAGAGTCAGGGAGGGGTAGTCCCAGAGCAATATGCCCCGAGTGACAGGCCTGACAATCAGCGTGATGGATTGGGTCTGAGAAAGTGGTACTCGAAGGGAGGCAGTGTCACCAGCGCGCCTCCACTGGCCGCTGAGAGCACGGGAAAGTGGTCTTCCTAGAGGCCGGCGCACAAAGGACCAGCTTCACCTTCTGATGATCCGCCAACCGGGAACTTTAATGTCAGTACTTATGACTCTGTAAAATCTCTGCCAAGCGCGAAGCCGGCAATACACACTTAATCTAAAAGGCGGGGGGACGGAGGGGGAGGTATTGTTATTTTTAACAAAAAGTTTTTATTCCAAGATTTCCCTGGGAAAAGCTAGTGCATTTTCCCCCCACGAGAAGAAAAGATGGGAATGGGAAGGCGCAACTCTGGAGTCTGTATCGACGTGCAGCACGTAGAGAGAGATTCCACCCCCCTCCTCTGGGATACTGGCCTCTCCAGTGATCCTGGGTCCCCCCAAAATAGCAGCTAGGCGCGCTGCAGTAAGGGAATTGTGCGCCTCTAAACAGACACTGTAAGAAACCTGAAACACACCCAGGACCGAACCTATAAATCAGTGTGCAGGCAACACTCGCCAGGCGCGTCCGGGCGGTGGGCACAGCCTAGAACACCGCGCTTCGTCGCGACCATCTCACCCCGGAAGGGAGTCCTCAAACTTGCAGGCTTCGGACAGGACAGGCTCAAAGTAGTTGGAGCGGCGACGCCGCGTCCCAAGAGCCGTGGACGCCTCCAAGGCTCGGGCGCTTCCAAGTGAGCACACCAGGGAGAAGCCAATTAGGGAAAGAGAGCTGGACCGGAGCAGAGCCGGAGCTGAGCCGGAGCAGAGCAGGAGCAGGGCCGAGCTAGGCGGGCGCTCTGGAGGCGTGGCCCGCCCCTAGGCGGCCTCCGGGAGAGGCTGGGACTCGGCTTCGACGGAGCCAGCGCCTAGCGCCCTTACCCACCCCCCACGCCCCACCCCAATCCGCCCCACCCCAGACACTCTCTGCTGGCGGGTGACTGACCCGGCCAGCACCACCCCCGGCGGTGTGAAGGGAGAGGGGAGGGAGACAGGAAAGCCAGCGGAGGATAGGGTGCGGAGCCCAGGGTCCTGGAGAAGTCTCGTCCTCTATGGGACCCCGGGGCAAGGGCGGCCCGGCTGGGGGAGGGAAGGAGTACCGCGGGTGGTAGACGCCGAGGCTGCGGCGGCGCGCGGGCGAGGCCCCTTTAAGGTTCTCCCCTCCCACCGGCGGCGCCGGCCTCCGCCCGCCGCTCTCCCCGCCCCGGGGTCCCGGCGAGAGCTGCGATTGGGCGGGCGCGGCGATCCCTTTGAAGTGTGGCTGCCGATCGCGGCTATTTGACGTGCGGCTCGGGGAAGGCGAAGGTTTTTGTGTTGCTCGCCGGGGCTAGCGGCGGCTGCGGCGGCTGCGGCGGCGTCGGTGGAGGAGGGGTGGAGGCGCAGCGACTGCTGCACCGCGCTCGACGCTGCGGAGCGAGCCCACCCGCCCCGGGAGCTCGCCTCCCTGGTGCTCCCCCTCCCTCCCCGCCCCCCCAGTGGCGCTGCCTCCTCCAAATGAGCGATTCGCCCGCTGGATCTAACCCAAGGACACCCGAAAGCAGCGGCAGCGGCAGCGGCGGCGGCGGGAAGAGGCCGGCGGTGCCGGCGGCGGTGTCCCTCTTGCCCCCGGCGGACCCCCTGCGCCAGGCGAACCGGCTCCCTATCAGGGTCCTGAAGATGCTGAGCGCTCACACCGGCCACCTCCTGCACCCGGAGTACCTGCAACCGCTGTCCTCCACTCCCGTCAGCCCCATTGAGGTCAGTCTCCTGGTCGCTGCCCGCCCAGCGCGGGCCCCATTCCACCCACCACTGCCGGGCCCGCGGCCCTACTCCCTGCGCCCCGGGGCTCGGTGTGACGCCCAGGTCCGGCCACGCCGGCGGACGGGGTGAGGGGGGACCGAAGGAACAGGGATCAGAGTCCACCGGGTTCTCCCCAGGCTTCTCCGTGGAAGGTTTTCCCTTCCACACTCGCCTTTCAGAGCTACGTGTTTGCTCTTGGATTGGGTTTGCTCTTGGAGTCTCCACTGGGTCCTTTACTTTTCCTCTGGCACCCAGTTTCCAGGCTAGAGATGATCTCTCCTTTCCTGCCTCCCCCTCTCACCCCCCACCCCACCCCCCCACACACACCGGTTTGGTCTCTTTCAAGCCGGATCGCCCCCGTCCCACTCCGCCTCTGTCCCATCCGGTTAGAGCGCACTACGCCCCGGCACTCCCGATCCCAGGTCTTTCTTCCTCCCACTTCCCTGGGTGCCCTCCCCGGGAGGGAGGGGCTACTAGGAGAGCGCCAACGGCAGCCCTAGCTTTAGAATGCGCTTCTCCCGGCTCCTACCTCGCGGCGCCACGGCCAGAAACCCGTCCCAAGCGAAGTTCCCCAAACTGAAGGAATAAGTTTTCTCCTGGGCACAGGGGTGGGGGAGATTAGAGGGTAGGGGGCGAGTCACAGCCCCTCCCCCAGCCCCGACTCCAGACCAGTCACCTGCTCCCGCGGCGGCCTCTGGTGGACCACTTCCCCTGCCCCATTTCCCCGGGCCTGTGCCGCGCTCTGGGACCCGAGGGAACGAGAGATCCCACTCGTGCTCTGCGAGCGCAGTTCCAGCCTGCTGCGCCGCCCCGCCCGGCCCTTGCTCTCAGACCGTCTACCCCAGGCCTTCCCGTCCCGTCGCGCCGCCGCCGCCGGGGCTCTCCGCGCCCACCCAGCTCCCCAGACATCCCGCTTGCTCCGTCGTACCGGTCTCACCCCCTTCTCCCTTCCCTTGCCGCTGTCTCCCACAGCTGGACGCCAAGAAGAGTCCATTGGCGCTGCTGGCCCAGACTTGCTCGCAGATCGGCAAGCCGGACCCGCCGCCCTCGTCCAAGCTCAACTCGGTAGCAGCAGCGGCCAACGGGCTGGGAGCCGAGAAGGACCCCGGCCGCTCCGCCACGGGCGCCGCCTCCGCGTCTGCCGCCCTCAAGCAGCTGGGGGACTCCCCTGCCGAGGACAAGTCCAGCTTCAAGCCCTACTCCAAGGGCTCCGGCGGCGGCGACTCCCGCAAAGACGGCGGTTCCTCCTCCGTGTCCTCCACCTCTTCCTCGTCCTCCCTGTCCCCAGGAGACAAGGCGGGCTTCAGGGTCCCCAGCGCCGCCTGCACGCCCTTCCCCCCGCATGGAGCGCCGGTCTCTGCGTCGTCGTCGTCCTCCTCGCCTGGTGGCTCCCGGGGCGGCTCCCCGCACCACTCTGACTGCAAGAACGGCGGCGGGGGTGGCGGCGGGGAGCTGGACAAGAAAGACCAGGAGCCCAAGCCCAGCCCGGAGGCTGCGGCCGTGAGCCGCGGCAGCGGTGCAGAGCCCAGCGCACACGGGGGTGGCGCGGAGGCTGGGGCCTCGGGGCGCAAGTCCGAGCCGCCCTCGGCGCTGGTGGGGGCCGGCCACGTGGCGCCCGTGTCCCCCTACAAACCGGGCCACTCCGTGTTCCCGCTGCCACCCTCCAGCATCGGCTACCACGGCTCCATCGTGGGCGCCTACGCCGGCTACCCGTCTCAGTTCGTGCCTGGCCTGGATCCTAGCAAGTCTGGCCTGGTGGGAGGCCAGCTGTCGGGGGGCCTGGGCCTGCCACCGGGCAAGCCCCCAAGCTCCAGCCCGCTCACCGGGGCCTCCCCGCCCTCCTTCCTGCAGGGATTATGCCGCGACCCCTACTGCCTGGGAGGTTACCACAGCGCCTCGCACCTCGGCGGCTCCAGCTGCTCCACCTGCAGCGCGCACGAGCCCGCAGGGCCCGGCCTGAAGGCGGGGGGCTACCCGCTGGTGTACCCCGGGCACCCGCTACAGCCCGCTGCGCTCTCGTCCAGCGCCGCCCAGGCCGCGCTCCCCGGCCACCCACTCTACACCTACGGCTTCATGCTGCAGAACGAACCGCTGCCGCACAGCTGCAACTGGGTGGCGGCCAGCGGGCCGTGTGACAAGCGCTTCGCCACCTCGGAGGAGCTGCTCAGCCACCTACGGACTCACACGGCCCTCCCGGGCGCCGAGAAACTTCTGGCCGCCTACCCCGGGGCTTCGGGCCTGGGCAGCGCCGCCGCGGCCGCCGCGGCCGCAGCCTCCTGCCATCTGCACCTCCCCCCGCCCACCGCCCCCGGCAGCCCCGGGTCGCTGTCATTGCGGAGTCCACACACTTTGGGGCTAAGCCGGTACCACCCCTATGGCAAGAGCCACTTATCCACAGCTGGGGGCCTGGCCGTGCCCTCCCTCCCCACAGCCGGACCCTACTACTCACCGTATGCGCTGTACGGACAGAGACTAGCCTCAGCCTCCGCACTGGGATACCAGTAACTACAGCTCTTGCACCCACCCGCCGCTCCTCTCCTTTCCCCCCCTCCGCCTCCCTCCCCGCCCCCACCCACCGCCTCGCCGCTGCAACCTCCACTTCTGCTTGTCCCTGCCGGGATCCCCCGCCCAGACCCTCCCCACCGGACTGTGTATTTATTTACTATAATGTTAGCTTACAAGCTGGGAATATAAGTGCATTAACGGCCCACACGAGTCAATGGTATGCAAAAAGTCTGTGTTCCCCAAATAATAATATTAATCACACAAATAACTACATGTTCCCCGCCCCTCTTCCTTTCTTTTATTTTTTTTTTCTTTTTCTTAGGTGTAAGGTTCTTTTTTTCCTTTTGCTTGTTTTTTTTTTTTTTTTTTGATTGGTTTGGTTTTAGGGGGAGGAGGGAGAGTTGGGATTCTGGGGTTCTTCTATTTGTTTTCCCTTCCTGGGGAGTTTCTTGCATGCTTCCTAACCATTAAGACTACATTTCCCCCTTCTCTTTTCCCCTCTTTCCCCTTCATTTCTTCTTGTTTCCTTACATTTGAGGTTCTGTTTTATCCTTTGTACAAGAAACAGAGAGGAGATATTTTTTGTAACGTGTTTGGGGGGTTCAGGGATCCACCTTGGTGGCAAGAGGTCTTGTGTTCTATTGACCCAGAACTCTGCTCTGTGATTCGTCCCCTGCAACCCTCTCCTTCTGGGGTCCTTGGTCTGCACCCTGGCCCCCAAAATTAGAGCCTTGCTCCTCTGTCTTGCTCTGAGCACTGAGAGCCCTAACCCCACCAGGAGGCTCCCCCCTGAGAGAGAGGCCCAAGTGGCCTCTGAACAGCCTTTCTACCTTCCAGACTTTTCATGGCCCCAAACACTCAGTAGTCACACTGCCTGCAGGTGGGGGACCTGTAGGGCTCATCTTATTCAATTAAAAGTCCTAGGAGGCCCTGCTGGTGTGAAACTTTGCTCTTTATTTTTTGCAAAGTGCATTGATAGTCCTGTTTTATTCTCCATTATTGGGGCAGTGATCCCTCTCCTGATGGTAGGGGTAGGGTCAGTGATTCTTGCTAGATCCCTCCAAAGCAGACCAGTGGCAATATCAGAGGGCGATACAACCTTGGTAGCTCCACTGGGGGACAGTTGGGGAGTCGGGGAGTACACGGATCACAGTAGCCCCATCCCCCCCCCCAGGCCTGACCCAGCAGAATCCCCAAAGTTGGCCGTGGGCTTCCATGGGCTCCCTCAGTGACTGGGATTGAAGACTCGGACCCCTGGGTCTTCTCCCCACAACTTCCCTCCCTCCTGGTCTTATGCAGCAGTGCGGGGGGGGGGGGGGGGGCTGTGGGGCCTGTTTGGGATGAATAGAGCTCTCCCTTGGTAAGACTTATTTTGTTAATAAATGGAATACTTGGCTATATTCACACCGTGGTGTGTTTCTCTCTTGCCTCACCCACTGTCCCACTTCCAGACACCTGAGTAGATGTCCTTCTTTTATTCTTGTTTAAATACCTTATGGTTTCCTTCTGAGATTTCCATTCAAGGTCGAGTTTAATGCCTTTCCTCAAAAAGGGGGGGGACACAAAACTTCTGCTAACGCATTATAAATAACATAAAACCGCCTTTATGGTTCTTTTTTTCTTTTCTACTTGGTTATTTAGCTCCCAGACTCCCTTCAAAGTCCTTGACATTTCCTGGGGACAGGGTGGAGGGAGTCTGTAGATGTGGTTTTTCCTCTGGGCCTAGAGTCGAGGTACAAGGGGCTGGGAAAGGAACCAGGACGCGGGGCTCAGACCCCTGGCAGCACCGGCCCCAGAGCCCTGCAGGTATGCATAGTCGACGTGCCTCTGGCGCCACCTAGTGGCAGAAAAACGAGTGACGGGTGCCAGCCCCGACGACGCCTTCCGCGCTTCCCACTCGAAATGCGAATAATTTCCTCTTCTTGACTACCTTTTATACACCTTGAAACCAAAGAGTAAATGCGCCTGCTGAGACTGGTGGTTGGCAAGGCCTGGGGGCTCCCCAAGGCTAGCGCTGGGTTGTCGACCCCAGTCATTCGCGCCTCCAGAGACTTCTCTGGACAGGGTTTGGGTTTTGTTGAAAAGGCGCGGTGATTACTCGGCACTCTGAAGCCACTCTCGGTCCCTGTTGTCTTGAGCTCACACGACTGACACTGGATTGGGCATCCTCGGGCAGGCGAGGATGGGGTGCCGTTTACCAGGATGCTGGGACCAGGGCCGGGCACCTCCCCCCTGCGCGGGGACTCCGCGAGCCCGGAAGAGAGGACGGGCCACCTGCACGTCCATCCCCGGCGGTGAGCCGCCAAGGCCGCCGGCTCCGGGCGCACCAGGCCGGGGACACACCTGGTCACCTGTTGGGCGCACTTCAAAGTGGGCTGCCTCGCCCCCTCCTGGCCGCTCTCCGCGTCGGCCCCGTGCAGCTTTGGGATCGGTTGTTGCGCTGCAGTTTTGCTTGGCTTTTTCTGTGAGGATTGAGACTTACCGGGCAGTTGGTGCTCCGCGAACTGCGTGCCTCTGAAACGTCGGTAGACCGGAGGTCAAGTGCGGAAGGGCGGTGTGGGAGGGATGCTCTCTCCGCCCGCCCGCGTTGCTTGAGACCACGCCACACCCCGCTAGAGAATCGCAGGAGGGCCTCGGGACTTGACAAAACCCCAACATTAGATGTTTTTTTCGGGGGGGGGGGGTTGGATTACGGTTTTTTTGAAGTTTTGCCACTATATCTTTGTTTCTGGCCAAAATTCCTTCATTAATCAAGAGAACCTCAGGCTGCTTCTGCAGAAAATGTCAGTGCTGGCCACCGTAAGAACTTACGTGTGTCCCAGGGGAAGGGACCTGGGCTGCTGGTGTCTTTGGGCACGTGGGGGCCGCCGGGGGAGTCAGGGAGAAGGGCTGGAGAAGCCGCCCTGGGACCAGCTCAGGGTCTTCCTGGGGAATTATCCTTCTCCGAGTTCTCAAAGTTCAAATTGGCCAGAATCTTTAAAAGACCTGAAATGTTACGAGTTGCTTTGCTTTTTTTCTTTCTCTCTGTTGTTTTTATTGTTGTTGTTGTTTTTTGTTGTTGTTGTTGTTGTTGTTGTTGTTGTTTTGCTGTTGGTTATTTCCCATCTTCCCTTCTTCTCAAGTCCTTCCTTTTCCTTCAGATACCTTTTTTTTTTTTAATGCCTGCTAAAACTGCTGGAAATTGCTCCCTCTGCAGGAAGACTTGAGCTTTTCTCTTTCTTAAACTTAGCCTCTCCCAGACCTCCCTAGCTAAGTTCCTCTTGTTGGGAGAGAGAAAGAAATAGATTCACTGTCTCTCAGAGTGAACTCTCTTTATAGCAAAAGTCACGTTTCTAGAGCTGCTTGGCTCACCCGGAGCTTAGAAACCCCTCAGACTGTTGAGTTTCCCCAGAAAATATATTGGTGGTCTTCGCAGACTGGGAAGGATGCCGTGTGCCTCGCTGGAATGGGCTGTCCCCAGCTACCATTGTGACATCAAAGGGCAAACAGGGTAGTCTGGAGTGGCCCAGTTCTCACCCTGAAATGTCAGCCCTCCTCACCAGAAATGGGTGCCAGTTCCTAGGAAACGTGACTGTTTTAATTAGCTGGTGGGGAGTTGGTTACTTTCAATAGCTAAATTCTCATTAAACAAAGTTGCTGTCTTAATAGAGATAATACTCCCCACCAACTGCTTATTTGCATAATTAATTCATCCAGCAACTCTTTTCTTCAAGAATCACCTCTACCTTCTATTTCTCCACCCCCTTCTCTTCCTAGCCCTCCTCCCCCCTCTTCCTCCTAATCTCTCCCAGGCGCCAGAAATGGGGCCTGTGTTCCCAAGGCACGAGGAAGGGTGGAAGCTCGGAGCTGGAACTTGAGACCCTGGACGTTCCTGGCTCCGGGTCAGATTTTCACACCTCACGCCTGGTTATTTTTGTGGCCTCGTGGGCAGCAGTGGGAGGAGAGGGAGGAGGAGAGTCTCGCTCTCGGATACAGGTTTGACACAAACAGAACAGCGTGGTGTTCGGTTTTTAACTTGCCAGTCGTCGTCCCCCCCGGCCCCCAAACCCACCTCCTGAGAAATCCGCAGCCCAAGGGGGAGGCTGGGGCTGCCATAATTGCCTTGCCCTACCCAGCACACTGTGACGTGTCTCTCAATATATGAGCTAACTCCTGCCTGATGTATGTCTGGGTTACCGTGGAATTCGTCTTGCAATAATCCTGAGGCTCTGCACTTTATTAATCATTCTGTAGGGGAAGCTGCTCTCCAGTTTTCTGTTTGATTTGATTTCATTCATCCTGTCTTTTTGCAAAATAGATGGTTGAGTGCATCCGATAATGTATGGTTTAATTTGGAGCACTATGGGTTTGAATTACCATTTTCATAATGTGCTGTGCATTAATGTGTTACATCATTTATAAAGAGGAATGTGCTGGGTTTCAAACTTTCTCCTGAAAGCCAAAGTCACCTAAAGGAAACAAAGCCAAATCACATCGACCCATCTTCTTACCTCGCTGCCAGAGAAACTCCTGCCTCCCCAGCCCGGGCTAAATCTGCCAAAGCTCATAAAACCCAACATGAAGCTTTTGTGTTCACATAATGCAGGTGGGTGTCAAGGTTTGGGGGGAACTCGCACATGGCTGCCCGGGAGCCATCAATGGCAATACAAAGCTCCCCCTCATTATTGTGTAACAACAGCTTTGCAGCCAACCCGGTTTGAGGAGACCTCCAGTGGATGGCTCTCCGTAGACCCTAATCCCAGCCCTCCCTCCCCAATGGCTGTAATAACGCCAGCTGTCTGTTACTCAAACTCTGACTGAGGAGGAAAAAGCACTGATTATCCAAATACAGTCATTAAAGGGGAAATGTGTTTTTAGGACTGTCAGAGTGATTAATGAGGGCTAGCTGTCTTTGCAAATGCACTTGTTTAGTCTAACTGGCAGCTTCTATTTTCCTATTGATTTATTGCAGCCGTTGCCGGGCCCTGGTGTGTGCGGAGTCAGGGCTCTTCACAACTGTGCCCTGTTTAAACAGGAAAAGCATGCGCCATTTTGTCCGGGAGGGAGGGAACAGCCTCGAGTCTCTC